ATGTAACAACATCTGTCAGTCATATGTAACAACATCTGTCAGTCATATGTAACATCTGTCAGTCATATGTAACATCTGTCAGTCATATGTAACATCTGTCAGTCACATGTAACAACATCTGTCAGTCATATGTAACATCTGTCAGTCATATGTAACAACATCTGTCAGTCATATGTAACATCTGTCAGTCATATGTAACATCTGTCAGTCATATGTAACATCATCTGTCAGTCATATGTAACATCTGTCAGTCATATGTAACATAATCTGTCAGTCAAATGTAACAATATCTGTCAGTCACATGTAACATCATCTATCAGTCACATGTAACATCTGTCAGTCACGTGTAACATCTGTCAGTCACGTGTAACATCTGTCAGTCACATGTAACATCTGTCAGTAACATGTAACAACATCTGTCTGTCACATGAAACATCTGTCAGTCACATGTAACATATGTCAGTCACATTTAACATCTGTCAGTCACATGTAACATCTGTCAGTCACATGTAACATCTGTCAGTCACATGTAACAACATCTGTCTGTCACGTGTAACATGTCAGTCACATGTAACATCTGTCAGTCACATGTAACAACATCTGTCTGTCACGTGTAACATGTCAGTCACATGTAACACCTGTCAGTCACATGTNCAAATTGAACTTGCGCTTAAATATTAGCTTCTGCTAGATTTTCTATGACATAAGCGCTTTTGAGGTTGCAAACCTAAATATTTACATAAGTGCTTTAAAAGTTGTGGAACTAAATTTTGGATCAGCACTGCCCACCACTGGTTATATGTAACATCTGTCAATCACATGTAAATTTATCTGTCAGTCACATGTAACATCTGTCAGTCATATGTAACATCTGTCAGTCACGTGTAACATCATCTGTCAGTCACCTGTAACAACATCTGTCAGTCATATGTAACATCTGTCAGTCACATGTAACATCATCTGTCAGTCACGCATAACATCATCTGTCAGTCACATGTAACATCTGTCAGTCATGCGTAACATCATCTGTCAGTCACATGTAACAACATCTGTCAGTCACGCGTAACATCATCTGTCAGTCACATGTAACATCATCTGTCAGTCACGCGTAACATCATCTGTCAGTCATTTGTAACATCTGTCAGTCACATGTAACATCATCTGTCAGTCATATGTAACATCTGTCAGTCATATGTAACATCATCTGTCAGTCATATGTAACACCTGTCAGTCATATGTAACATCTGTCAGTCACATGTAACAACATCTGTCAGTCACATGTAACATCATCTGTCAGTCATATGTAACATCTGTCAGTCACATGTAACATCATCTGTCAGTCATACGTAACATCTGTCAGTCATATGTAACAACATCTGTCAGTCATACGTAACATCTGTCAGTCATATGTAACAACATCTGTCAGTCACATGTAACATCATCTGTCAGTCATATGTAACATCTGTCAGTCACATGTAACATCATCTGTCAGTCATATGTAAC